AAAAAGTAGTCGTACTGCCAACAACCAAGCCACTAGCGAGTAGGAAAAGATAAGGAAAAGATACACAACGCTGATGCCAATAAGAAGAATTAAGTGAAAGACATCCACGAACTACTTGCTGCAACTTGCTGGTCAAATGGATTTTATTCTCGTAGACGTTTCGGCGTAATCGGCCTTCTTCAGTACAAAACTATGCTATTTACAATACTAGGAGCAGAACTGTTTGTATTCGCAGTTCTGTTCCTAGTTGTAAATAGCACGTACCATAATTTTCGATATGCTTTTGATATACTTGTATATATATATTGGAGGCGGCCATAATTTATACAGCGATATGCAGAAATTCTGATCCTTTCGTACATACAAACAAGCATATCAAAATTATCATATATATATTATAATGTAGTTTTGCCTTAACTAGGGTGTTTGGGAAAATCACTTGTTGGAAAAGAGAGGAATCTAAATTTACCTGACAGCAGTTACTCAGCCTCATCATGGTTTGATTATCGCTATGAACCTCATAAAGCCAAGCTGTACGGTAAATATGGATGGGCACCAAGGTATAATGATAATCCTGATGATTACCTGCAGATTAATCTCAGTACTACACGTGTTATTACTGCTGTAGCAACACAAGGAAATGGTGGTGATAAAGATGACGAAGATCATAAGGAAGTAAAAAATGAGTGGGTGATAAGTTACAAGATGAACTACTCAGATGACTCGTCAAACTGGATCAGTTATGAAGACGACAACGGTGCACACAAGGTAATAACAAGTTACTAGAAGAGAACCCTGATTTTAGGAATACTGTTTATTATTCAAGTACATGTCATGATGTTAAGCAATGACTGGATAATAATCATAAGTTACAAATTCAATTTTACAATAACAAATCAAGTTGGATAAGATATGAAGATGAGGTATGATCATTGTTAACTTGATGTAGGAGTCTGAAAGCTGCTTTTAGCTGAGTCTGCACAGGACAGTGGCCAGGTTATTCCGTACCATTTAACTAAAAAGAAAAAAGAAAAAGAAGAGAAAAGAAAGAAAGAACCCGCATCAGCATAATACAGATTGTTTGATGATCTTAATCTCTTTTTAGGTCGATGGAAACACCGACATAGACAAGGTGGTACGACATGATTTCAAAACACCCATCATAGCCCAGTACATAAGATTTATACCACTGGATTATAAAACTGCTAAGACAATGCGAGTGAATGTTTACGTATCCACTAAAATACAAGGTATGCCTAAAGGAATTGTTCGTTTGATTTGAAGAAGCAACTATATTATAAAGATAAAGAGTGCTTGGTTTTCTTTTTAAATAATGAAACAAATGAACGGAAAACTAGTTAGTGCCCTTGCTTAATTAAACTTTATTCACATGCGGTGTCCGTGGGCATTGAGCCGCCAAGAGCAAGCAAGGCTTCTGCCTATCTATTACTAATCAGGTCGTGATATAATTGACCACAGCTAAACATTTTTTANGTTTGACTTTCTTTTCATTTCATGATAGTGCCGCCATCTATCACAGTCAAATCTTTTGAAAGGTCAATACGGATAGAATGGACGATAAAGACTTGTTCCGCCACAAACCCTATCACAGCTTTTAAGGTGAAGGTTGGAAGTAATGTGACAACAATAATGCAGAGCAATACAACTAGAAGCTATATCTGGGCCAATCTAAAGCCATACACTGTATACCATGTATCAGTGGGAGCAGAAACCCAAAATGGATCAACATGGAGTGAGGTGAAAAAGATTAGAACTTTAGTAGCAGGTAGCTCAACAATACACCTTTTTACTTCTTTGTAAATACTGTGGATCATTATGCAAATTATTTTTCTAACCATTGAGTCTAGGTTTGGAAATTTGATGAAACTGTATTTTACTTATACTTTACAACCACCAATCCCCATACGGGGCTATTCCGTGAGGTTCCCTCCACACGCACTACCACTACATTCTATATTTACATTATACAACACTCAACTCACATGTTGCTTTTTACGGAGGGAGGAAACCGGAGATCCCGGAGAAAACCGACGTGGCAAGGGAGAGAACAACACATCAAACAAACTCAACTCACATGTAATCCAATCTGGGCCAGCAGGGCTCGAACCCGGACCACAGTGGTGGAGAGGCGAGCGGTAGACCACTACGTAACCTATGCCACCCATGCCACCCATAAATATTAACGACACCCAAAAAATTGTAATAGGTCTACTTGAGCTTGACATAAAGACGCATTGTCTGAGTTCTTATAAGAGGAAACTTTGTCTTCGGAGAAATAATCTTCCCATTTCCTCCACGCATTCCACCATATCAAAACTAAATACAGCCAATCAGAATGTAGCAAAGCCATTGTTTATTCGGTGGTATATCATAATTTCTTCATATCAGTACGATGTTGAATTTCATAATTGAAATGGTCTAGAAGAATTAAGTAATTTTCAACAGTGTGGCCAAAAATAGTAATACAATGTTTTCTCGTGACACACCGTGGAATCCCTAACGTCTTTTGTATTTTCTTGGTGAAGAGTGAACGTACTAGTAAACGCTTTAACTGACTCGTATATATACTAGCAAATGCCTGACTCTTAGTATATACTATGTATACCATCCGAATCCATTGTCTTGCGACTAGTTATAAAACGTATTTATTATTTATTTGTTTTTCTACCATAGAGCCTGCGATTGCACCAACATACATAGTTGCGCGTCCAACCTCTTCGAAGACAATACRATTGGAATGGGCGGTAAACGTAATGCAATTATTTTATATAGTGTATTCTACAGAGTACAATTAACGATTTAATTGTTCTCCTCTTGTTCAATCAGAAACGAGTAATTTCATTGAGGATATTATAAACCCCTTAGGGCCGGCTTAGATGGTACGATTTTCGCCTACAACTATCGTATACAACACGCTCGGGTCTGTCATAGGCGAGTTGTAGGCTTGATTTACACGCTACGACTCGAGTTGTAGCATGGCGCGAGCTTGTTGTATACGATAGCTGTAGGCGAAAAT